ATCTTTTTCTCCTGATGGTTCTTCACTGGTGTCTAGCAGTGAGGATAAATCTATCCGTTTATGGGATACTAATACAGGACGAAAAATAGCCAAATTTTAGGGTCATAGTGATTGTGTATTTTCAGTTTGTTTTTCTCCAGATGGTACTTTATTAGCATCTGGTAGTGCTGATAAGTCTATTCGCGTATGGAATGTTAAGACAGGATAATAAAAAACCTAATTAGACGGTCATCGCGATTTCGTTAGGTCAGTGTGTTTTTCTCCTGATGGAATTATTTTAGCATCTGGCAGCGATGATAGGTCTATTCGTTTATGGCATCTTAAGAAAGGAAAATAAATATCTTAATTTGATGGTCACACTAATTATGTTTTCTCTGTTTGCTTTTCTCCTAATGGAACTAAAATAGCATCTGGTAGTGTAGATAATTCTATTCGTATATGGGATGTTAAGACAGGATAATTAAAAAAAAAATTAGATGGCCATAGTTCTATTGTACGATCAGTTTGCTTTTCTTCTGATGGTATTACGGTAGCATCTGGTAGCGATGATAAGTCTATTCGATTATGGGATGCTACGACAGGATAGTTAAAAGCCAAATTATTTGGTCATATTAGTGGAATCCGATCAGTGTGCTTTTCACCTGATGGTCGTTAAATAGCGTCCAGTAGTGTGGATCAGTCAACCCGTTTATGGGATATTAAGACATTACAATAAACAGCCATATTAGAGGGTCATAGTAAGACTGTATTTGCAGTTTGCTTCTCTCCTGATGGGTCTTATTTAGCATCTGGTAGTGCAGATAACTTTATATATTTAAGAGATGTTAAGTCAGGTAAATTTAAGGTCATCAAAGATGCTCATATTAATTATAGACGATCAATAATCCTCTCACCTGATGGAAAAATATTAGGTTCTGATAATGGTGATAAGTCAATCCATTTTTATGACGTTAAAACTGGTTAATACTTGGAATCTTTTGATAATCGTTATAACGATATTTTGGGATAATTTCAAACAAATATATTTAATAACAATCCCCACAGAAATGGTATTAATTATTATTTTATTTAGCCACGAGTAATATCACTCTTCAACTTATATCCCAATAGTTAATATTTTAATCATAAGGGGCTTTAATCTGGAAAGGAAAATTTGTAAATCAATTAGGTATGGATTTGGAAACATTGTTAAAATAAAGAGGAAGTCTAATATTGGAAAGCCTAATAGAATTACAATAAAAATAATGTTGATTTATAAATATATAATAACATAGTAGATTTAAGTAATAATATAATTTCAGATAATGTTTATCTTATTGATGTATAAAGCAAAAATTTAAATTGATAATTTTTAAGAACAATAAGATTCATATATAAAAAGGTGGATAAGGAGTTCAATTTCCCTATGCTCCTGAATAAACATAAGAGAAAATTTTAAAGGTAACATGATCTTATTAAAATAATTATAAAATTCAAGCGCAACCTAAAATCATCTTGAATTTAACTCTAAAACTTTAATTTCTATGGGAGATTGTGGTATTTTTGCACACTGAATAGTTAATAGTTTACCTTGCTTTAACATTTTGATAGGAAACCAATTGGTTATCTATAATAGAATAGTTATGCTTTAGTGAGGATTAGGTAGGATAACGTTAGCTAAATAAGGTCTAACTTTGGAAATTTGCAAAAATTATGTTTTCAGCTGCCTTCAAACATTCTAGATTCTCACTAAGAAGTCTTACTTAAAATAATTGTTTTATAACACAACATTTAATTAGTTAGCTAAGATTTGCATTGATTTTAAATCATTCTTAATTATTAATGATAATATAAGTATTCACGTTGACATTTCGAAATTGCAATCAAGTTTTATCAATGAAAACCTTTTCACATTTCGACCTTATTTAGGAATTTTGATGTATGCCTATTAAAAAGTAGTTTAAAAATAATAGTTCACTTCAACTTAACATATCCCTATAAATTAGAAGGATGATAATCATGCATTATTCCTATAGTAATAACATTTTAAATTACATTAATGACTAATTAGTAAGCATCGTAATTAATGTAAATTTATTTAGAAAGGTAGAAAATAATGAATTTAAACTTGAGTATATATTTATTTTAGTAATAAAGATGTATTTGGGTAAATAAGTGATGATTGTAATTATTTGACTGATAGGGGTGAAATGAACCATAAATTGGAGGTAGATTTAAGTAAAAAGTGCTATATGAAATATAAAATTGATATATTATTATCTTATTTTGTATCATCAAGAAAACAACATTTGGAAAAAATAAGTGCAAAAAAAGATGAACTCTTTACTTAATAAATAACTATATAAATATATTTTTATAACAAATTTCTAAAATGATAATAATGATGTCTAAGGTACTCTATTTTCTAAGAATTTTGTCTACTAGTATTATTTTATTAACTAATTTTATAAAAAAAAAATCAGAAAATTTTTGTTATTTTCGTATACATTTAAATATTCATTATAAATTTAGAAAAACGTAATAGGAGAGATTAACCTTAAACCGTCTCAATAAGGTTTACTTAGAATCTTATAAGAAAAAGGTATTTAATGATATTAAATATATAATACCTATTCTTAAGTAACTTAAAGGTTAATGCATATACTTAGATCAAATATACAAAATTTTACTATATTTAAGATATTTATATATTTTGAAGTGATCAATTTTATTGAAGTCTAATTCTTCGTAAGAAACTGGATGGAAATTATATTGAAGGATAAAAGGATCAAAATAAATATTTATTTTATAATGGAAAGACAAATATCCCATTAGTTATAATTGATTATTTATTCAATAACTTTAAATCCTTACAGCCTATTATATTCTTAATCGATTTCAAAAAAACTATAAATAGAACTAAGTATGTTCAGATAATAGGAATTTTAATTAGTAAAATTAGACTCTTGAATTTAAGTTGGAAGTTTAACTAAAATCATGCTTTTCATGATTAGCCAACATTTTACAGATCAATAAAATAATTAAATGTAATTCTAATTACAAAAGTTAATTAGAAATTGGGGCACTTTTGATTATAGCATAGATTTAGCCAGTACGTCGATAAGCAGTCCTCCTCGGATTTCTTTTCTACATTTTGCTTTTAATTTTTAATAAATTATGCTTCATGCATAAAAATTTGTTTAAATAATTATAAATTTAGTTTAAAAATTATGGATAACTGCATTGGTATCCTCCTATTTAGAAGGATAATTTTATGAATTTAGTATTATCCTTCCAAGGTTTATGAATCGAAACAATTTATTAAATGTTCAATATCAAATCACAATGGTCATATTATATCAATAACCATATTTATTGAGATATTTTGATAACTTTTTCTGATGATAATATTGAGTAATTATTACTATTCTATCATGAGATTTATTATGCTACCAAATCTTATGTAAAATTAGAACTAGCAGAAACACAATAGAATTTTGATAGATCAGAAAACAATATTTTCTGTTTTCTTTGGTGTTATTTTGTGCAATTTTGTTCTTACACTTAACGATTATTGATAGCTAACAGTTCTTTATAATCTTGGATAAATTTTAGGAAAATCTTTGTTATACAAATTTAATTAAATATAATCTCTTTTTTATAAATTTCCTTGTATTTGAAAAAGCACAGCTGTCTTTCAACTATTTGAAACAATGGAATAAATGGATTGAGTTTACTAATAAGATTTAATCTTAAAAATGCTGAACAGTAGCTACGAACAGAATCTGGAAATGTTTAAGATGGTTATATTAAATATCCCAGATATGCTGTGAA